CTTGCCCAAGGTCACGCAGCAACTAAACGCTGGAACTGGGACTAGAACCCAGGTTCCTGACTCCCAGTGTCCTTGAAACTAGACCACACTGCTTCCAAAGAGGCATCCCCGGACTGGCTTTGAGCACGGATTAAAGACGGACAATGTTGGATGAGGTTTGGGTGTGGTGGTGCTTCCCGTGGACACGTTAAGATGAAACCTGAGGTGCTGCCTGGGTTGGTTTTGGCATGCGGGTGTATGTGTTAGTTTGAATGGGTGTGTCTAAGCTTCCTGTCCTGCCCGCTTCTCACTGCATTCTGAACTGGGTCCCTGCAGAGAGTGGAGCTGGATGGTCAGGAGGTCAGGACGGACTGGCATATAAAAGGAACTCTGTCAGCTCAGCGCCAAGGGGCCTGCCAGTCTTTGGGAGTTCAGGCAAACTAGGGATGCAGGACTTTGGAACGGAGTCAGCTGCCCACCTTAGGCAGGTCTGCTTAATCTTTTTATTATTTTAATTTTTTTACTGGCCATCATCAGGAAGTTGTGTTCATTTTATTTCTCTGTGGGGCAGCTGCCCGCCTCCTTTGCTCTCTCACCTTTCCCTTTCTCTGAGTCTCTGCTGGGAAGGGAAACCGGTTAAGCCTTGCATGTTCCCTTTCATGAAAAAGAGCCACCGAGAGCAGCGTCCGCGACAGGAGGCCATGGCTCTGCAGATGAGCCACGGCCCCGCTTCCACCTGCTGGAGAAGTGCTTTGCTTGGAAGGGGTCTCCCCGGGGCCTTGGGTTTGCTTTTTCCTGCATTTCTCCCGAAATGCTGTTTCAGTAGAAATAAGCCCACTTGAGACTTTTCCCTCTCAAGGCCTTAGCCACAAACGCCTTCCGACTAACGAGCTTGGTGCTGTAGCTCAGGCAGAAAATTCTAAAGCATCCGTTCAAGCATCTGAAACAAATGAATCAGCCAGTGAAATCTCATCTGTTAGCATTTGTTCTCCTCTTAGATTAAAAAAGAACGTGGCTTTGGATGAAGGCATGCTTAAAAAAAACAACAACAAAATCTTGCTACTTTTTCTAGACTACGGTGACTAGATAACAGGTGTCTGATACGCCACAGATTAAATGTCTGTGGTATATCCCATTTTCCTCTGTCTTCAGGCACACAGCCTCCCTCAGAAAGCCACATCAAGGCGCATCAGGGCCTAAGCATCATTTGCTTCTTTTATACCACCCACCTTTCCACTGGACCACCTACGTCACCATCTGTTGGTTAGGGCACAGACTTTAACATTATAAAACCTAACAGCCTAATCCTTTACACGCTGGAAATAACATTTAAGGTCTCCTTCTTAAACCCAACTTTCAAACAGGTTAAAAGAAACAAACAAACAAAAAAAAGAAAACTATCCTTCTAGAGTCTTCCTGTCATTAAGATGGGCAAGCTCCCATCTGGGATGGGTAAGGGACGGAGTCTCCTTGGATTCCACCAGCATGTCTTTTGCATAAAGGAAATTCTTGAATGTTGAAAGAAAAAGAAATGAACAAAACTTTTCGCACTTCAGGATCTTTTTTTCCTTCTCCGCAAGACACTGGACAAATTAGTGTCTGTCTCTTGCACAGCAGTCCTCACGTGGAAGGTCTGGAGGGACATGGCTAGTGGCTGGGAAGGGGACAGTGTTTTTTCATGGCTGCAGAGCTGTGTTCCTTTATTTATTTGCTCCTCGTGGAAACTTGCAGGTCACTCGGATGCAGCAACAATGGATGAAGAGCAAAGGCTGAGTCAAACTAAAGTGAATATGGCATGTAGGGGATGAGTGAAGGGAAAAAAAAAGGCTGGACGCAGCATCTCTCTGATTCCCTCTGTAGAGGTGCAGGAGAGAAGGCTGGCTTTAATGATGATGATGGATGGACAGATGGAAACTGCACACTCATTCAGACCACAGAGGCCAGAGGACACTGGGTGCCAAGCTCCTACCCACTCGTGGATCCAGGAGCTCCTCAAGCCATCCCCCTTCATATAGAAGGGGACATTGCAGTTGGTCTGAACACAGGGAGACCAGATGGAGCCCACAGGGTTGAAAACCATAGTGTATCTGTGCACCCTGGAAAACGGGGCAGAGAATGTGGACCAGTTCTGATCCTGTTCAGACAGACTGCACTCTACGCAGCACAAGCACGCATATGCCTATGTCTTGACTTCTGCGCTCACACCGTGATGCCCACACTCCACTTTCCATTAGCAATCGGCCAGCCGTGTGGCACCTTTGACACGAGGAGAAACAACTTGCCCCCACTTGTCAACAGGCCATGCCCACTTTCAGGGGCTTCCTTGAGGGTTTGGATACTTGTCCTGGTGGCACTGTTGGTGCAATTCTCCTATTTGCCATTTGACCCCGTTTCCCTAACTGCTACATCATCACGTAATATTTCATCATGCCAAAAGGAAGAGCCTCCTCATGCTAATTAAAAGTAGAGTGACAAATCACTTGTAAAGCCATTTTTGGAGCCGAGGAAGCCAAAAATGTAATTAGAATTATCCTTCAAGGAGACAAAATTTTTCTATTTTTAATGTTTGCTTCAGAATCAAATGCATTTTCAGAATTTATCTGTCAAGATTATGAATGCAACTTAATTTTCTAGGTTATGTACTCAACATACATTATAGTCATAGCCTCAACTCCCAATGGAACCGTGTGAAAATGTATTGATATTACTGCCTAACTGGAAATACTTGAATTTCACCAAGGAAATGAAACCCTTTCTATAAACAATGAAATAGAAAATGTTCAGGGGGGAAAACACCCTCAGCATTTATTGTAACACAATGTGATAGTCTTTTAACCCAATGACTTAAAAAATGTAGCTTTAGCATCATTTGAACCTCCAACTTGAAGACTTGGTGAAGCCCATTCATGAAATATAATTAATTACTTAGCCATGTGTTGTTTTTCAGGTTTTAAAACATCAAAAGGCTATATCCAGCCACCAGAGCAATCACTGGAGGCACCTAATTGGGAAGTCTTGGGGATTCAGAAAAGGTGTAACTCTGTATCCAAGTGGTCATCACATGTACCTTCCACAGAGAACAGAAGGGTCTCATAACACAGAGCTAACTTGATTACTGTAAATTATGACATAGTCACGCATGAAAGAGTATGTTTCCCCCTCCAGAAAAGTCATTAAGTTCCACCGACCCCACCTACTAGCATCCGAGAACAGAAAGCACTTCCCTACAAGCAGAGGGCACCACGGTGCTCTGAGACCCTGCCAGCCTATCCGCCAGGCCCAAGGCGACTTTCAGGAAGAGCCATCAGAAACACGACCATCACTCCTTCTCCTTGCACCCAACCTGGCCACCCTGCCCTCAGGAATGCATGGAACAGAGTCCTGTTCACATTTACAAACTCTTTTCAGCTTGCTTTGTCTCTCTAAGGCTACTTGTGAACTGTGAACAGAGGTGTCATGTTTGCAAACTGGGTTGGCCGGAGGTGAAAGAACTTTACTCACAAACTCCACAACCTGAGACAGCAATGAGCTATTTGACTGAGCCTGATTCACTGAGCTACCTTTAGGACCTGTGACCAGAGGAAGAAAGATCAGACTTGTCCTCAGCTGGATTCAGCATCCATCCTGCCCCCAACCCTGCCGCTGTCTGGGTAGAGCAGAGGTTTCATCATGAACCAGCAGGTCACTGTCACACAAGGTCATCTCCTAACCAAAGATATGCGTATGCACCCCACATTCCTTCATTCACTCATTCATTGTCATTCGTGTCACATTCTCTCTTTGAGCGAGATCACAGACAAGGCTTCACTTTGGCAGTGACCATCACTTTGAACATAAAACAATACGGGGCATTTCTGTCCAGAAAAAAAGTGAAGGATTATTCCACATGGGCCCTTACCAATACCTACAAGGCCTAATTTAAGACATGTGGTGATAACAGGGACATAAAATTTTAGAGTAAACCAATTAAAGAGGAAAAAATTCTTTATCCTATTCACAATGGACTTCAAGCACGCTGGGTAGCAGAGGTGACAAGGCTTTTGATTAATTTGGACAGTCGTTTCTGGCAGCTTGCCAACCTCTGTAGTTCCCTTTTTCCAGTTCTTAGCATCTTTTTCTAGTTCCCCCTTCACTCTGCTTTCTCCATCACCAGCACTAACAAACTCCCCTTCCTGGCCCCTCTGTGCAGGTCTCTGCTGTGACTCCCTTTCCCTGCATCCCAACCCAGAGCTTTGGATTCTATGTCCTTGACCGCATGGACCCTGGTTGAAACCAGAGGTTCCTAAGAGCCACATCCACACTCTAGGATCCCAGGATATGGCCAGGGCTGCCTTAGGGGTAGGGATGGGGACCAGAGGCTGGCCTGAGTGTGAGAGAGCAGCATTTGCACAGCAAGCCGCACGGCCATCAGGAGACAGACAGAGACAGATACACCACACCATACACACACACACACACACACACACACACACACACACACACACGCGCGCGCNCACACACACACACACACACACACACACACGTATACTCACACACACCAGGAAGTGATGGATGTTACTGAAATGGACCGAAAACCAACAAGCAGTGGGGTAAGAAACAAACAGAAACAAAACAAAGCACTTGTGTGCAGATGGAACGCTGTTTCCTGGGCAGCGAGGGCCCGGGCCCAGGGGCAGGGATGGTGGGTGCCTGCTCAGAGGACACTGCCCTGGGAGAAGCCTGGAGGAGAAAGGTGCAAGAGCAGTGCTTGCTCCCCTCCCGCTAGGGACATGCCTTTGCCGCTGTCCTGGGGACCCCATCCCACGGGCTGCAGCAGGTCCCTCATGACAGAGAAAGCAAGGAGAGGGAGGCACTTACCTTGTGGCCCAGAAATGGCTAGTCCACATTTGGGGGAGTGTGCAGTATCTCAGTTTAAACAAAATCCTTGTGGTACTGCTCAACCATGAACTGTCAGCTCTCTAGTATTTCAAATAAGCTTGTAAAATCGTTAGTGGAAAGAGGAAAACAACAAAACAATTCACCTGTAGGGCAATTGTGGTGTTCTTCGCAGGGTATTTTCCCACCAGTCCTTGTTCTTTCCGTTTCTTGAATTTCCTAAAGTAGTCCTGTATCAGGAAAGTGGCATAGAACTTCCCCACGGTTACCTCATCATCTAGACGGAGAGACCAGACAGAGCTCTCCCACATCAGCACATTTGCACCAAGAGCCTAAACACTGGCTTCTGGCTGGGGCAGGGGCAGGGAGGGGCAGCACGGAAGGCACTGAGCTCGCGGCTTACAACATAGGAGGGGCACTAAATCTAGCAAAAAGCAAGGTTTGGCAAAGCAGTGAAGGCTCAAAATTAGAGTCAGTTCAATGCATCGATACTCAAAATTGCAGAAAATAACGTACTTGTCATGACTTTAACAGAGCAGTGTATTAGTAACACTATGAAGTGCTGTCTTGGTTACTTACTTAAAATAAATATTATCAAACAAAAAAGGCTTCATAGGTCATATTTTCACCTCTGTGCACAGGGATTTGCATGTGTAATTACCGTGAACACCAAAGGGCAACTAACCATCCAAATCCCGATGCCATGAGATAAAGATAGAGACCTCGGAAAGGTGACAGACAAGCTCGGAAAAAGGAGGTTCAGAAAAGTGACTGCAAACCCAGATTTTCATGTGCCCTTTGACTCTCTGCCAATAGCCTCCATATGCCATTTCTTGGTTTGTAATTCAGAACTGCTTGGTTTTTTTGTGCTGTAAGAGACAGCAGCAGCTAACCTCACAGTCGAGTTGACTTCTTTCTGCTTTGTCCATACATGTTCCCAACATGTATCGCTGGGAACCGGAACTCCGCTGAGCATGTTACAGGTGATGCATGAGGCAGAATAGGAGCTCTGGCTGTCTTGTGGTAAACCACCTTGGCAGTGTGAGTGTGCCCCAGGCTCTCCACAAGCCCTGCTCTCCCAAGCATGCTCACTACCAGATCTGCAGTGTGTCAAGGGCTCCTGGGGGGAAAGCTTAAAGATCCCTTAGCTGCTCATCCCGCACGGGGCTATGAACTGCTGGCCATGACTTGCAGAGGCTCTGGGAGGACGAAAGGGTGCTGGCCCTCAGGCTTCAGCACAGCTAAACTTTTGGCCAGGTCACCCTTGTAAGAGTTACATGTGTTCTGGGGCAAGGAGCTCAACCCCATGGGGCTTGTGTCTTCATGTATAAAGGGGCTTTGAGGGTTACATGAGAAGTGGCATATGAAACACTCAGCTAAGGGCCAGGGGCTGGGTGACTGTGAGCCATCAGAGTCACTATTCATTTACAACCCACCAACAGTGGCATCCTTTGAAATGGACTCTAGTGTACCACAGGTTGGGGGACACTGAGGCCTACCCTATTCCCTAACAGGTGGGGTTCTTTTAGTGCCCATGTGGGAGGTGTATATGTCCGGATGCTGCTGGGCCACTCTGAGCTGCCTCTCCAAATTTCTTTGTCAAAGGAAAATGCTTGTGAGTGTTACTGTGAGAGAAGATGCTTAAAGTGGTCTGGCTCTGAGAACATGTTATATTCCTTCTAGACCCAAGCTGGGCAAGTCCTGGAGTAGTATAGAGGCCACCAAAGTGAACTGAAGACTGTGTAGCATGTGAAACCACGGTCCCTCATCAGTCTCAGGTTGCTCTAATAATGCACTGACCATAGGCGAGGAGGTGAGGGATGAAGAGAGACCACGCAGGTCTTGACATTTCAACCCCATTTTGCCAGAGTGTGTTTGGAGCACAAGTTCCAGCAGCCCTACTATTCGGCATCTACAGGTGCCAGGCCCTGTGTCAGAGAAGTTCCCCATGGGTCTCCTGGCCTCTTCAACAACAACTCCGAGATGGTGGATCTGCTCACCTCTGACAGGTGGGGGAGGTGAAAGGACTTGCCCTAGGCCAGTGGAGTTAGGACATGAGCCCCCGAGCCTGGGCTCTGCTCCTCTGCACCACCTCCCTTCTTTGAGGCTGCCTCTCCCAGAGTGCAGGTCTCTCTCTACTGGGCTGCGTGCAGGGGGTGGGCCGACTGCCGACAGAGTAAAGAGTCCTGGGGACCTAGTGGGGATTCTCTGCCTGCTGTACCGCAGCCAGCCTCGTCAGTCCAGGGTTTGAAGTCTCTGTGAGCTCCCAGAAAAACGACACTGTGGACAGAAGACCCACCTCATTCCACACTGGGATGCTTCCAGCACACATAGGCCTACCCTTACCTCCCTTCAGCCTGGACTGTGCTAGTCTGGAAGGGACAAGGAAGCTTCTGCAGGAGGCTCTGGCTGTCCCTGGCCCAGAACCTGGGGAGGCAGTGCACTCAGTGCAGAGAGCTGACTGTGTTTCCACCTGAGGGGTGACTCCAGGGCAGGGGGACAGGCGCCAGGGCTCTGCAGCACAGGATTCAAGGGCCACTTGGCCTGCTCCACTGAGACACTGAGCTAATTGAGACTGGGCCCAGGAAGAATTCTTAAAAACAGGAAAAGTCAAAGCTATCACAGGACAGAAAAGAAAGGAAGAGAAGGAAAGAATGCATTCAGGCTGTCTGGGCTCCGGACTAGAGAGAAATAGATGGGGGTCAGCTCTGAGCGCTCTTCAGGGAAAAGGAGCTAAAAATCCAAGTCAAGGAGTGAAGGCCCAATGGCAAGGAGAGCCTCTGAGAGGAGAGGGGACTTCTAAAGAAAGGGGGAGCATCCAGAAACGGCAACGGCACGACAAGACTGAAGCGTGGAGGTGAGAGTATGAGCGAGAGTCAGAGATGGGCAATGAGAGAGCTCAGCCTTATTGCAGAGATGGCAGACAGGCTGTCCCCACAGCCACAGGTGCCTGCACCATTGAAAGCTCAGAAGGAAAGTTCCAGACTAGTATTCCTGAGTATCACCCTATTATCAAGCTCCTGACAACCCAGGGGCGACTCACATCACACTCATGCCAGCAACGCCTCCTAAGATGGGCACCTACTCTATTCTGTCACCAGGTCTGCATGGGCTTCCTGTGTGAAGGAGCGGCTGGCCTGGCTCAGTCTGCTGCTCTCTGACCAGGTTACAGCATGCAGCACACAGAGCGCCTCAGCCCCAGGGTGCTACCCATCTGCTGGCCCAGAAACTATACAAATCTTCTCATTTTCTAAGCGTGCCGGGATGTGGGAAAGCCAACTGAAAGATAAAAGCGGAAAAACAAAGAGACAGATTCTAAAACCCTGCCCAGCAACTCATTCGGGGTCTGTTCACCGAAGCCAGAAAGTCATGGCCTTTTGAACTTCTTCAGTGGCAACAGCACTAATTGGAGATCCAACCTGATAAGCTCTATCCTAGGCACGTACACAAACCATGACATGAAATTTCTAGAGCGTTTCATCTCCTACACAGGCCCCATCTCCTTCTTCTCACGTTTCACAGTGCCTCTTGATGTCATTTTGTAACAGATTAACACTCGTCATCCTAAATCTCAATTCATTTTAAGAAATGTGGAGAAAAAGCCAGGGCCCATTACTGGGCCAAGAAAGCAGAACATTTAGCCTTTATTAAAAATCTAGTAGAACTAAAAAAGGAAGGTAGCTTAAATGGTGACCCAAATTCTGGGCTCTTTTCTGGTGAAAGTAAAAGAAATGAAGTTTCCCAGTAATGTGACTGTCACTGTTCAAGTGAATCTAGCCAGGCTGGGCACTGACGTGTGCGTGAGACGGGTTTGTAATGAAGGTGGCATGTCAGGAGAGATGTCAGGTGGCGTGGGGAGGAGCTGGGCTCCCGCCCCCGTGAGGAAGGTTTACTCAGACAGGCGCAGCCCACTATTCTGAAGCATGCATCTGTATTTCGAGAAACATTGTAGGGGAATACAGTTGGCAAGAGATAACTCTGATTCCATGCCACCACCCTAAAACAGAATTGCTTCAGAATATTCTGAAAGACTGAGAGTTGAAAGGAATGGAGGCTGCATAAAAAGCTCAAGCACATTGTTACAACAATTTAGAAAAGCAATTTATCTAAGCCATGCGAGCACTTGGGTGTGCAGCTAGAAAGAAAAGAATGAAACCAAAGAGTTGTTTTAAAGGTGCAGTATCAGCTCTCCTGTGGAGAGCCAGGGTTCTCTGGGTGGGAGTTTGGGGGGTTTATTCTTTTTGGTTTGGTGGTTGGGGGGCTCTTGCTTTTCCTGTATCGTATCTTTGTGGGCCATCTTCCCCAGCTTTGAGCTGGTGGCCGTGCCAGATATGGGTGGTTTCCCTGCAGCGACACAAGCTCATACAGCTTCTCACTTCATGCTGAGGAACAGAGCTGGTCAGCATGCTGCTCTCTCGGCCCCTAAGAGCCAGAAGTTGTCACCTTCTCAGAGGGAGAGGCCCTGGCCACCATCCTGGCCTGGGGTTCTGGAGTCGGTGTCCAGACTTGAGCCAGACTAACCTCAAAAGCTGCAGGGGCAGTGACACTGTTAAAGTTAATTTGGTTACAAAATATACCAAAGGCCTAGCATGTGCCCAGGGCTAGGGATGCTGGACTGCTATGCGATGGCACCAAGTAAACGGATTCTGCACCTTTAAAACCTGAAAATAAAACAGTAAAAAAACTACCACCTCAACTTCTAAGTCCATGTGCACTTAAACGAAAATGGAAAAACAGTGTATATATTATATATATATGTATATATATATATATATATATATATAAATCTGAAAAAAGTTTAGTCAGTTATTTTATGATTAATACAAAAAGAAAGAAGCATGCCTGTTAGTTCTGTCCCTACTCTAAATTCTAATTAAAGGGACAATTTGGGTAATTATGGCCGTAAACTCAGTCTTATTTAAGAATATTTTGAAAAAAATACCTTTTTTCTGACAGCTATTTTTTTGTGTGAGACGCTTTCAACAATATGTTGAAGGATAGATGGAAACTAGTTTTAAGTATTTCATGTTGGACTGAAAAATATACAGGCTTTTTGTTTTGAGGCAACAAGCTTGTTCTCTGACATTAACTCCTTCACCAACAAGAAAACCCTTGCTCCAGCCATCTTAGTCTGCATATCTCTCCCACTGAAACCTCTCCTTTGTCTGGAATGGTCTTTGTATCACCCCAAATAATTACAGCAAAAAGAGCCGAGAGGCCTTCTTTAGCTGTTTTCTCAGTGCGCTAGCGGACACATAAAGCGTGTGCAAACACTCTGGGCTGACCGGACCCACTATCATTGAAATCAATGTGTTGGCCTAGAACTGCTTAGGAAATTGATTGCACTGACCACCAGCTGGAGGGACAACTTGGTCAAGGAGTTTCATGCTGGTTTTCTTCCAGATTTTCTTGATCACAGCTCGAAGTTCTTCATTAGCTTGCTCCAGGTTCCCTGGATTTGAAAAGCAAGAGGGAAAAAAACACAGCTTGCTCCTCTTACCCAGCAATCACTTTCTGTTCTCACTATGGCTGCTGTCCTCCCCACAGGACCTGGATGGGAGTGTGGCCCTCAGGTGGGGCTCCTCTCCTGCCAGGCTCTCCCCAGTCAGGGGCATACACACTTCCTATATTCAGCACACAGTTAGCAGGCCATCCGACAGGCAGTCACTCCACTGCGGGAACACCCATGTGTTACTCTGGAATGCAAGGCCTATCACAGGCTGAACCTCTCCTACCCTCCCAAGCCAACACCTATTCCTTTCCCGCTGCTCCCAGCCTGGAAGGCCAAATCCTGCCTCCATCCTTGAAGACCCAGACTAAATTTCACCCAAATAAGACTCTCTTGATTCCTATTATATGTGCTCGTCATGGTCTTTTATCAGATGGGCTGATGTTTGTCTCCTCGACATGTCAGTACATAAGACCATCCCTCACTGCATCCCTCACTGATGCCAGCTGGGGGCCAGGTACAACGGTGCACACTGCAGTGAATATCAGCTTGAAGGGACTGGCTTTGCTGGATAGATTCACGCTGACTCTGGGGTTTCGAGAAAACAGCTGTCCACTGACTCCTCATGCATCCCTTGCTAGCCCCTCTTCCCTCTCCTCCCTCATGGTCTCACTTCGGCTTCTTCATCTCTTGGTCCCTTCTCAACCTGCTGCAATCGGATTTCCATTCCACCTCTGAAGGTGCCACCAAGCCAACCTCAATGGCCACTCTCCAGGGCTTTTTCTACGAGGGCTGAGCATGGCCACAAAGATCACTCTGGTCTGATCTCAGCTGAGAAAGAAGATGCTGGTCTTAACAGTATTTCCCAAGTGCCGACTATGTGCTAGCGCTGCAGAGGGGCTCCCGCAGACAACACTGCATCTTATCCCCAGGACATCCCATGATGTAGGTATGTGTATTTCCTTTCCATAGAGAAAGAAACTACAGCCCAGAACAGCAAAATTCCTCACTGAAGGTCACACAAGTAGTAAAGGACAGCTGGAGTGAACCCATGTGTGATGGTTCTGTCTCTGCTGGGGTCTCCCACCTACTTCTCCTGCTTTGTGGTGAGCAGGGGCGTAAGTCACCTCAGAACTTTCTGGGACAAAGGGAAGCATAAAGGAAGGAAAGAAGGGATGAGAGATGCAGGGATGCCCAGCACTCACGTCCTCATTGCACTCACCACCCCCTCCCTCAAGGCCTCCCCTTGACAGGGAAAGGTCCAAAAGGGAGAACGCAGGTGGGATATGGCATCCCCTCCCAGTTCTATCACGGGTCCTTCTTCCCGGGAACGCTCACCTTCAGTCTTGATTTTCAGAGCTGTTCGAACCAATGCAAACAGGGTTGCATTAAACATGACTGTCCCATCACTGTTGAGAGGCATGTTCATGGCAACTAATCTCTGTGAACAGAAATAAAAGTTTCTTAATATAACATGAATGATTTATGACAGCCATATCCCTTTTCCACATGTATTCTGTATATCCTTTATCTCTTTTCTAGCCAACCTCAACTTAATTCAATAGCCATTTGAGGAGCACCTACCATCTGCCAGGCTCTGACATGACAAAGATCAAAGCTTTAGTCATGAAATGCAAGTGCTGCCACTTGGATGGTTATTTTTATTTTTTTACCTTAATTGTTTAATCACTTCACTATTCCAGCATTCTTCTCTCTTTATCATTACCAGCATTCCCTGTGTTTTGGGATCAGGTCTTCACTCTGGGCACATCCTTAAGGCTTTTTTGAGGGTAAAATGACATACCAGATAAAATGAACCAGGCACAGGTCCTGGGACTTAGGTCCCCAAGCAACAGGGCTCATTACTAGTCCTAACATGGAGAGTGTCCTTCTACCCCGGTGAGACCATTGTGGAGTCCACGTGGTTTCTCCACGTGGATCAGAGCAAGATCCCCACTTCCTGCTTCTCTTTTCTCTCTCCTGGTGCCTCTAACACCAGCACTGGGAGTTGGAGAGGACCAGGTGAATAGCACCCTCTCCGGGGCCCAGTTATCTCATCTGTAAATACCGATGACATGCCCACACCTAAGGGGCCATGCAAAGACTGGATATCATGGACACAGATTTCAGCCCCATGCCTGGAACAAAGCAAGTGCTAAACAAATCGTAATTATAATTATTAATAGCTTCAAAGTTCTTATTTTTGGCTGACAGAGTGTCCCAAGAGTTCAAAAAAGGTTTTTTCCCCCCCTCTTTATTAATGGCCAGGAAATTTGTGTTTGCATGATGCATCCCACCTAAATTCCCAGTCCTATTACCAACCATCTCTGTGTCCAAAACCAGAGCAGGCAGCAAGAATGCCCTGGACACATAGATCCTTTGCATAAAACGGTCTAGAAATGCAAACAAGGTGATAGCCATGAGCTGGAACCAATCTTGTTCTCAGAAAACAGAAAAGAGGCTGGTCCTGGGAAATTCATGAAAAAAGTCAACTTCCATGGCTTATTCTGTATACCTACATCTGAAGTCTAGACGGAGGAGAAGCAAAGACCTGGGCAAGGTCGCCAAGGAGTTGCCAATGGGGCTTTCTGGACTTTCAGGGCAGGAAACAAAGAATTTGGCTTAGAAGATGTCTTTGAAAGACTGAAATATATTGTAGGCTCTACTCTGTTACCTTGGATCTGTCTAGAGCTGGCCCAGCAACCCTGGGGTGGTAAAACCCCTGACCCTGAAAATGCCTCAGATCCATGCGGGAGGGGACCAGCGGCCATGGAGCCTGGCTGGCTTTCTACGGGGTAGAGTTTCAACAGGCAAATTGCCTTTCTCCTTTAAAAAGGGGAATCCTTCTCTGTTGCTACCACTGACTCAAGGTGGATCACTGAGTTCGGTGGAAAGAAAACAAATCTCAAGTAGGGCTCACAGAGAGCATGGTCCGATGCGAAAACTACAGAAGTGCGGTGGGTGGGAGCTATGGCTCCCTGAGTGAAAGGCCACCAGCTGCCACACGGCTCAGCAGGAAAGGAGCTCTGACAGGAGAGGGGCACATCACCACGTCCACCATCACACAAACTAGAAATGTCCAGGGGAACATTCCTCTCCATTTCACTTCCTAAGAAGATCTTTAACCCGCGCCCTGCTCTCTGTCTCCACTCCCACTGCCCTCACTCTGGCTCCTATGACTTCACACTTAGAGAACGCCAAGAGCTCTCCCGGGTGTTCTCCTGTCCCCAGTGTAGTTTTCCAGAGCCAGAGTTAACCTTCGAACATGGAAGGCCACTCATGTTTCTTTCTTGGAGCTCATCATGGCAGAGAACCTCCTCACAGCTACGCTGAGTGTGTGTCTGTGGCCTTCTGCCCTGTCCTCTCATGTTCTAGCCACACCAGTGACTCCCTATTTGCCAATATGACATCCGTTCTCTGCCTCTGCATTGGGTTCCTCATTGCTCCCTTCCTGCATTGCCCTTCCAACTCTGACAAACTCCTAATATTTTTCTTTGGGACCTGTCGCAAATGTCACCTTCCCCTCCATTCACCCAGTGATAAATTACACAATTCCCTCCCTGTTCTTATTGTGAGCTGACAGGGTGTCCTAAGAGTTACAATCTGGGAGCGCCTCAGAACAGAAACCACGTATTTTTCATCTGTGCATCACCAGCACCTGACAGGAGGTTTGGCAAAATGTCACTTAGGAAGTGTCTGTTGAATGAACCAGGGAGTCCTGTAAGAGAGGCCATCAGACACCCACACAGGACGCTTACCTTACAGGCTACCCTGTGTGGGCATAATTTCCCGAACCCTAGGGGAGGCTGGATACGGCGGAGCAGAGTGACCACGTCCAGGTGTTTGATCCTTCCCCTGGAGACAAAGGGCGACATGAGGTCAAGGGCAGCACTGCTGGCTGAGTTTTCAGCCCATCCCACCTTCCACAAAAGCCACAGCCCACATTCCAGAAGCAGTCCGCACAAGCCAGATGGAATCCTTTCCAACCTACTTTGCCTCAGGGTCATATTCTGACCATATTCTTTTGAATTCATCTAAATGGTGAGGCCCCAGAATAGACCAGTCCCGGGTCAGATAATCAAAATTGTCCATGATGACGGCCACAAACAGGTTGATGATCTGTGAAAGCAAATCAGAAGGAGGGAGTGAAACAAATTGGGCTAGCTAGACCCCCGTAAGTGCTTCCTCATTGTAGGGTTGTGAAACATTTGAACCCATTTCTCCAGAGACTGTAAAAACGTTACTTCTGGAGAATGTTTAAGAAAAAAGCAGGCTCACAGCTTTCCCAAATGGCTCTGGTATAGTCCCAGTGGAGGGCAGGGGGATGTATGCTCTGGACTTGCAAAGCACACTGCAGTTTTATAACTTCATTGCCACCAAATAACTCATACCCTTAAGCGACTGCTATGTGCCGTGTCTTTAAAATTTTTAGAATGGAAGCAGCAGCCCTGAGAAGCTGGGGTAGTGGCTGCCCCACGCCTGTGAGGAAGCATCAAACCACTGCTCATAACGATGGAGCTAGTAACACTCATGATTAAGCAAAAACTGCCAACTGCCACGTCTAGTGTGCTCAACATAAAACAGCCTGCAACAAGCTGACGGGAAGCCTCATTGGTCTGAATCCCAAAGCTACGCAAACATCTGTCAGTTCACAGGGGGCATCCTTCTGATCACGTACCAGGAATGCGCAGAGCATGTAAAAACTGATGAAATACACGATGGCGAAGTTGCTCCCACATGTGTACTCCTCCCCTGGGTTGTAATCTGACTCTGGGTCACAGAGCTTCCCCGGGAGGCAGGCCAGCATGATCTCCTGCCAGGCCTCACCTGTCGCACACCTTTTTGAGAGTAAGCAAAGAAAGGGCTTTAGTGGCGAAAGAAGGGATTTGAAGCTTAGATCTCTAAAACATTTTAAGAAAAAAACACTTCTTACTGAGAGCAAAAACTACGTAATTTGGGAGAAAGCCAGTTTGAACGAGTGAAAATATGAAGTTCCTACTTATTTTTGACTGATTTATATCAATCGACGGAAGTATATCAATTCTTCTTGTAAAAATGGATGTTTATTTTTATATCTGCTCTTATTTAAAGCCTTATATTACAATGTTCTGATTATTAATTGTCTTTGAATGTCTAATATCTGACAATTTGATTAGATCGTTGAAAGCAAAGAAACTACCTAACTTGCAAATGACTTGCTACCCAGTCACTAGAGTCCTTACAAATTACTTGTATGATTTCTACAAAGTTCTCTCACCTTGTTCACAAAGTTATTGAACTGGTGTTAAAAACAATCCCATAAAATGTCAAATTCCCCATCTTCGGACTGTTCCCATTGGCTAAGCAAAATGCCTGTTCCGTGTCCTGCTAAATTTCTGTATTCCTGTTGTTTCAGTGTATACTCCCATGTGTAAGCATATATCTCATAATTCTCCTGGAGGCCTCAGTAAACCTATTGACTCCCAAAAGATGGTGACTTTAAGCCAGCCACCATCTGAATGGCCACAGCAATTGCAATAAGCCAGCAAAATTCCTCTGTAACTGAGATGCTAGTCTCTGTTTAAGACTACAGAACAAATACAAAAAGCTACTGTGATCAACTGGGAAAGGCCAGGCTGCTGTAATAACATGTGTCCTCTGTCCCTCTGGAGCCCAAAGCTGGAGAGAGACACACCCCGTGCCAGACTCACTTACCTGAAGAGCAGCAGCACCGCCTGGGGAAAGGTCTGGAAATTGTTGTTCCTATTGATCTGGTTGTTATCTCTCATGGCAACTTTCCCAAACATCTAGGTGGAGAAATTATTAGGGGGAAAGAATAGATTTTGTCATACAAAAACAAAAACCTCCATATGTGACGTTAGCACTAACTCAGGTTCTATCCACACGCACTAGGGCTTTCTCATGGTGCTGGGCACTTCATGTATTCACACAGATGTGCTGAGCACTGTGCTAACCACTGGCAACACGGTGCCATCAGGCACATTCTCCCCTCAAGGAGCACCTATCCTGGGGGAGGGACAGAAAAGTAAGCAGACAGGGGAGCAGAGAACAGGCTCACATACCCAAGGCTGGGGACTTGGGTCAGACAGGCCTCGGGGGAGTAAGATTAAGACCCAGAATTGAAGGATAAGTGGAAGCCAGTCACGTGACAGGGAGAGTGAAGAATGGTCCAGGCAGAGGGAGCACTGCCTGCAGAGGAGCACAGTCAAGGAGAAATAGGTGTTCCAGGAAATGGAGAGAACAAGTGTGCAGATGGACAAAGACCAGGCTGTAGACAACTGTGGGGCCAGTGGGCTTTACTTCCAGGGCAAGGGCAAGTTCGGAAATACTTTACTTATGGGACTTACAGAAGCAGACTGACATTTCAGAAGAGCCTGCCGCCTGGCTACGCCTCCTGCGTGAAATGGTGGTGGGATGAGCAATGCAGTCGCAGTGCTCTGAGACAGCTCTGGTTTTATATGAGAGCATTGTGTCATAAAGGATCTTTCGGGGCTCACAGCATCATATGCTGCTGAGTTACAGGGGCTCAAGTTTGTTGATTTTTGGATCACGACTCCTGATAAGATTCCTAGTGACTTGCGAATCCTTCTATGCCTTCAGAATAAAAAAGACATGCACAACTGCTTCTCCGCCTCTGGAATTGCTCCATGTCTTTTACACTCACATCCCTCCTTTATCTGCAAAGGGGCACCTGAACCTGTGGAGGATATGGCAGAGAGACCATCCAGGGAGGTCCAGTGCCACAGGCTGCTCTTCACCTGCTTCTCCCTCCTGGACGCTCTGCCCACTGCCACTTCGTGTTAGCGCGCAGCTGTTAATGAAATCCCAATCCCTTTACCCACCCCAGGAGGAGCTGGAAAATATCCTGCAGCCCCTCAGCCAGCATCACAAAAAGCCCTGGTTTCATGCTTCTTCTTAAAGGGGGGATACTGAGGCAAGATAATGGTTCTAGTTCACCCAGCCATGGTATCCAAAATAGTTTTTTCAAGTGAGACGCTCACTGGGTTACAATAAAACAACTTTTCACAATATAATTTTAATATAACTTTTGTATAATTAAATATCTTCTTAGCAACACGGGTGCAGAAAATAAGATAATTATGGCTTCCTTTAGTATGGCAGTTCCTGTTACTAAAATTAAGCATGGGTTTTCTCAATCAGTTGTTGGCTCTCCCAAGACACAGACTGGGGGTGAGGAGTACCACTAAACCCGGCTTTCCCTGGCATGTTCCAACCCCTCCTTGCTCTTCTGAGCTGGGCTCTCTGGCACAGGCTCTTTCCCTTGGAGCCACATACATCTCATCTTCATATCTTTTCAGCAGCTGAGGTGTCTGGCTGCAAAATCACGATCTTGTCTTTCCATTCCATCTGGCCAAGTGCCATCATGCCACAGATTTGGGACTACCCAGCAAAAGGGACCCAAAGGGAGAAGGGGCTTACCTGCATGCCGATCACCGCGTAGATGAAGAACAACATGGCTATGAGAAGGGCGACGTATGGGAGCGCCTGGAAGACAGGAAGCACTTGGCTCAGCACTGCCCACTTGCTCCAGGGACTGCTCGGGCACAGACTGAAGACCCACATGGGGCCACATGGTTTTCTTTCCCATGTTACAGTGAGAGGACAGCAACAGGGAGGCAGGACTTTTTAAACCCCAGCCCAGCACAATCCTGAGTATACCAGCCACACGCACACCTCGTGCTACGAAGCTGCAGGCAGGATGTGCTTTCCACAGTCATTAAACTGTGTATCCTAATCCTAAACAGTGTCAACGCAGACATACTATTCTCATAATCATGTTTAAAGTCATCACTGGTTTCCTGTGTGAACATATCCCAATTGATCAAACCATTCCAGCACACCAGCATTTAGATGGCTTCCATTTTCTTTTATGGGCATGTTTGGGGTCGGGGCGAGGGGCTATCGTAGATCCCTTTGCAAAGGAGTATCTTTATGCAAAATGGCCTTGCCACCTGCTGAAGTATTTTCTTAGGGTGAAGTCTCAGGAGTGGAATTACTGGGTTGGAGGGGAAGAACCACTTTCTGGCTGTTGCTGAAGAAAGCAAGACACCTTTCTTGAAAGGCACACTCTCTGAAAGAGCCACTGAGCTGGGGGTTGAGCCAGGGAAGACAAGGAGCTACCTGGACACTCGCCAAGTCTGGGCTCTTCTTAGGAACATCAAATACAAGTACAGTAAAACCTTGGATTTCGAGTAACTTGGTTTGCAAGTGTTCCATAAGACGAGCAAACATTTCTAATACATTTTAACGTCGTAAACGAGCGATGTCTTGCAATATAAGTGGTTTGTTTCCGGAACGAACTATGCCCACAAACCAAGGTATTACTGTATATGTTAGGTCAGGTTCATAGTCCTTTAATCCAATGTTCCTCAGCTGCTTTCCTCTCCCATGTCACGTGGCAAAAGATGTCCATGAGAAGTGCCCAGGTTGTTAAACCTAATGCCAGGCACACGTGCTTAAGGCATCCACTTTCTCTCCCACCCGAGAAAGGTCATCAAAAAGCCAGTGGCTCAAAAATTTCCCAATGTGTGTCAGCCCTGGATCTATGACTGCTAGTTGGCCTGGGGCAGTGACACCATCCAAACGGAGCCCCACAGGGTTGGTTTCACGCTTTCCTCACCATACCTATGGCATTGTCTTCTTAGGTTATGGAACATTTAAGAATTTTGTTGGCACTGTTTTAATGAACCACTACTCTGGCATGCATTTATCTATAGTGATCAAATCTTTTCTAAAAAAAAAAAGTTTAGTGATTTCTTTTAAAGTGAATTAGAATGACATTATTACATGAGTTCATTCTATTTTTATAGCAGTCCACTCACAAACTTTGGGACTTTGTGTTAATAACAACTGTGTGATACTTTATCCCTTACCAAGACCCAGGTTCACCTGCCTCAGACCCCTGGCTCCACCCTTCCTCTCTCAGAGCTGCATTCCTGGTTCCTACAGCCCCATCGTTCCCACCAGGATGTGTGATTTTCCTTCTTGGAGTTTTTGAATTTACCCCCTGCCCCAAATGCCATCCTATCCTTTCTCCTCCTTACCTGTTAAAATCCCACCCACTACAGAAAAATGCTTCCTTGGATGTTAACACTGATTCCCTCAGAGGTGATGGGAGTCAATTTGAACTTTTTCCTTACATATCTCTGGATAGCTTCACTTGTTAATATGACCATTTATTATTTTTGAATTAAAAATAGTCAAATAATAATAATAAAAGCCCCCAGAGATTCATGATTTACTTTCTAATGTTTGTGCATATCTCCAAATTCCCTACACTGGTGTGCCTTTTAAACATGAATCTATACCCTTTTCCCCATGGATTCAGTCCAGAAGACTAGACTACCTGGGTAGGTACAGGGGTAAGTACTGGAAGGTACAGGAAAAGCCAGGTTCTATTCAGGGATAGACTAGAACCAGGTTGCACCAGCCCAGAAATCACAGATGAAGAATGACACCTGGCTTATGCCTGCATGTCCTCAACTCTGTAATCCTTCCAGGCCCTGGAAAACACAAAGGCTGGGATGCTGAGCTGGCCCGGGCAAAGTGGTCTCTGACTCATAATTAGACGAGCTGACAGGCTGTTGCAGCCTTATGAGGAGAAGTCACCCTAGCAAGAGGCTGTTAGGCTTCTGGGGGGTCTCCGGGAACCCAGCACACTCTCACACATCACCTCTCACCAATGGGCATGCAGGGGAGGACCAGACTGAGAGGTTCAGAGGCTCCACATCTCTATCAGTCTTAGAAATGTTGCAGATCTCTCAGCTGCAGGTTCTTACTGCTTTCTTTTCTGGTTCCTTTAAACAAATTATCCTACTTGATTTGCCCAAGAAATGTGGGTCAGATTTCTCCAGCATTCCACATTCTCTAGTAGCCCTGGTGGTCATGTGACCCACGTGGTCATGTGACCTTGACAGCCATGTGGCCTAGGTAGTCACAGTGGTCATGCAGGGGCAGTCACTTACTTACATATGATCTTCAAAGTCAAAGAGATGCCCTTGGCATGGCTCTTACCTGAAAGGACTTAATAAAAGTCCACAGCAAGGTCCGGATGCCTTCCCCTCTGCTGAGAAGCTTCACCAATCGCATCACTCGGAAAAGACGGAAAAAGGTGATGGAGATTCTATTGCTCTCTTCAGAGTTCTGAAGGGTTATCATGGAGAAGTCAAACCCAATGGAAAGTAGAACATGCAACACTTTCAGAAACATAGCAACAGATGCAAACAAAGGTGACAGAGGTAAGAATTGAAGATGTGTTTCTAGGGCCTTTTCACCTTAAAAAGCATGATATGAAAGAAAAAAAGTTACATGCTAACAACACAGGGCTTGGAAAACTGGGTCCACACAGCACATGCATGTCCACGTGGTCTAGTGTATTAAGAGGAGAACGCTGGGCTGGTCAAGAGTACTGGACACTGATGATGAATGCAAACCACTGCAGACACTGTTCTGGAAGAACAATCATGGAGAATACAGAAAAACTAGTGGAAAACTCGACATGGTCAAATAAACTCAAGGCAAGAGCCCAGCCCCTGGGGACTAGTCACTGATCTTACCCCAGGTGTGGCGGTTGGGACAGGGACATTTTCACTTTCAGTTGGCTTTAAGAAATCAAAGATTAAAAATATATTAATGAATTGGGAAGGAAGCCATGGTTCAGGAGGACATCCCCTCCCCCCTTTAAAAAATTTGTGGTTAATGTCTTAGGACAATGCACCTGCCCCCTTCCTTGAGAAAATGCCAGGGGCACTGCTTGGAAGCGGGCTTGAGGGTGGGCAGCCCTGGACACAGGCTCAGACACACTACTTTCTAATTCACGTCCCAGGACGTGAGGGTCCACGGCTGACAGACACCCAGGAAAGATAATGCTGTAAAACCTCGACTGTCCCTTAGGACAGAAATGCAGAGTGGGCCTCTGCTTTTCCTAGGGAGACTGGCTCTCTTTGCTGCATCAGGGTTGTGGGTCTCAGGATCTAACTGCTCTGTAGCAGGCCATTCCACACCCTGAAAAATAGAGCGACTCCACCAAGTGGGGCAAACAAAGAGGCAGCTGCCTGTGGCCCACAGACCTGGACCACACTGTTCCCGGGCCCACATGCCTGGGCAGTGTCTCTACGTACCCTCTCTAGCGGGGCTGCTGGGGAGGTGGACAGACTGAGTCACTGGGAGGAGAGGGGCTGGTTTCCCTATCCAATGCTTCACTTCCCAACTGACAGCTCAGACAAAGCTCAGCTGTGTGTGGCTATTGGGGATAAACAGCTTAGGACCAGCTTGCATTGGTACTTCAGCAGTTCCATCTCATCTGAGGTCTGGTGGGGTTCCTGTCGCTCAGGCCCTAGGATGCAGGACAGCGCTCATCGCCTTGTCTGCACTTGCCTCCTCCCTCAGGCTGGAAGCCCTCAGAGGGCAAGGACCTTGCCTCACTCTACTCAATACCCCGCATGGTATCTGGCACTTATTACATGTTCAATAAGTGTTTCAGAAAATGCAAAGAGGTTGTAAGCAACCTCTAACAAGCACCAGGAGACATCTTTAAATTAAACAATGAGGGCTGACCACAAGT